AGATAGATAGATAGATAGATAGATAGATAGATAGATAGATAGATAGAGAAATGATAGATTAGAGAAAGAAAGAAAGAAAGAAAGAAAGAAGAAAGAAAGAAAGAAAGAAAGAAAGAAAGAAAGAAAGAAAGAAAGAAAGAAAGAAAGAAAGAAAGAAAGATGATAAATACGATAAAGCTTAATGGTCTTCTTGCAGACATTTCATGACCCAATTAGGTAACATCATCAGTGCTAGAAGGAAGGGAGGAGGAGGAAGAGGAGAAGGAAGGCAGTGAAGAAGTCCTTGGTGCTCTCTGAGCTTGATTGTTTTCTTACATACATTTCATGACTGAACTACAGAACATGAGAGAATCAAACACTATAACAACAGCCTAATGAACAGCAACTATCCAGAATACTCCCACTGACACTGACAACGCAAGTCACCGCTATATAAATAGAGCAAAAAAACCCTTCCTCCCTTCTAGCCTTGATGATGTTCCCCAGTTGGGTCATAAATGCCTGCAAGAAAACCACACAACTCAGAGAGCCCCAAGGACACCTTTACTACCTCCTTCCTCCTCCCTCTCCTCCCTCCTCCTCCTCCCTTCTAGCACTGATGACGTTACCTAGTTGGCTCATGAAATGCCTTCAAGAAAACCTCCCAGCGCAGAGAGCACCAAGGACCCCACAGTTGAACCCCGAGCTACAAATTTCTCTTCTGCTGGTTCTTTGGGTCTGGTGCCATTTAAGCCCCTGCTGGGCCAGGAATGGCCACCGTCCCAATCACGGGGCCTCACCTGCAACTGCCAGACGCTTTGGCTATACCCAGAGACGTTGGTGACCGTTTCACTCATCAGGGCAATCAGCATGTTGAGCAAGAGGATGTAGGTCAAGATGACAAAGAGCAGCACCAACAGCATCGCTAAGTCGCTGTACTTTACGTTCTCGTTGTACTCCAGGTCCCCCATGCCGATGGTGAACCTGAAGAGCAGCAGAGCCGTCTGGAATAGCCCCGAATACACGGCCTGCTCTTTAGAGTCGTCGCTGAGAGGGACGGACGTGTTGTGGGAGGAGTGGGGGGCGCCCCCGGTGAGAATGATGAGAGCTGCAAGGAGCCATTGAAATTTCGATTATTTCTCTGGAAACTTTGGGGGAACCCCTTCTCACTTTGAAGGACACGAGACCCAAAGTATATTTGGTTGATCTTTGGGGGCATCGTTAGTCGTTTCCCTGATCTTATCGTTCGAGTTTTGTTGGCATCAAGATACCAAGAAATCTGGACTCTGAATTCTTCACGGCATGGACTCAATCAACCAAACAGAACAGAGCTGGAAGGGACCTTGGAGGTCTTCTAGTCCAACCCCCTGCTCTAGCAGGAGACCCTATATCCGTGATGGCGAACCTATGGCACGGGTGCCACAAGTGGCACGTTAGAACCATTTGTGTCGGCACGCAAGCCGCAGGCAAACTGACCTCACTGCGCATGCGTGCACCTCACAGCCGATTTTTCGGCTGGTTTGAGGCCTTTTTCGTAATACCTGTAATACCGGAAGTGATGAAATGGGCCTATTATTCACCCTGAAAAGCCTCGCAGAGGTTTTTTCCAAGCCTCTGGGAGACCAAAAAAGGCCTCACACCAGCTGAAAAATCAGCTGTGAGGCGCAGTGCAGATAAGAGGGTGGCAGCGGGTGGTGTGGGGAGATGAAATGTACATGCGCAGTGGGCGTGCAGGGGGGGGCGCATTGCATTCTGGTGCGTGTGCACTAACACGCATACAATTTTTGACACAGGAGCCCAAAAAAGGTAGCCACCACCGCCCTATATCATTTCAGACAAAGGGTTGTCCAGTCTTTTCTTAAAATCCTCCAGTGATTAAACCCCTCTGTAGAGCTGTGTCTTGCACTCATTCATTCGCTCACTGACCCATTTATCCACTCCTTTAATCATTCATTCATTCCATTTATCAATTCATTTACTCGTTAATTCACCCATTCATCCACTCATTCATTCAATCATTCATACACTTGTTTACTCATTCAGAACTAAGAAGAAATTTCCTAAGGGAATAATTAACCAGTGGAACAACTTACCACCAGAAGTTATGAATCCTCCAACACTGGAAATTTTTAAGATGAGATTGAACAACCATTTGTCTGAAATGGTTTAGGGCTTCCTGCCTGAGCAAGCGGTTTGGACTAGAAGA